TTGGTGGTTCCGGCTGGAGCTCTTGGAGCAGCCAGGCCGGATTTGGGATGGAGGTGGTCCTACCTGCAGATATGAAAGGATACTGCAGGTTTGCAAGTGTAAGCGGACCATCGGTCAGTGAACACTTGCCACCAACCCCAACTCTTGGACGTGGTTAGTTTCGGAGTGGCGCGCCCCTTGAACTGGGGTCCGCACTTGTAGGGGAGGATACTTGCTAAGCAATGTGGGTGGTGGGTATCATGTGATGACCCGGAGAAGGTGGTGAATGTGGTTTGTTTGGGCCTTTGAGATTGCTACCAGCTCTGTTTGTAGGGTGGAGCAGTCATTAGAAAGTCTCCATAGGAGGGTCTGACCTTGGGTGTAGAAGGCCGCTCCGGATCTATGATGTTTTGGGTGAAGTATGATGCTGCATCAGCCAGTATCTCAGTGGCTATGGCTTCCTGAGTTATTCTTTTGAGGTCCTCCTTCTGGAGGTTGGCTTTGCTATCACTTAGTTCTATGCTGCCCTTACTTTGTAGTCGAGTCATACCTTTGGTGACGTTCTGCATCATCGCTGTCATGTGAGCAAACATCTGCTGCGTCTGTTGGTATTGCTCACATAATTGGCCCTCAATCCCTCCGTCTGGTGGTTCCTTCTCTTCTCAGGAGACAGGTTTATCTCACGCTGCCTTGGCGGGGTGGGTGTGACGCGACATTGCCTAATTTTTTTACTCATTCCCTTCCATGTCCATGACTGCCAGAACAACGAGCGTGATCTGTCTTGCTCGATAAATGTATGCAGTAATGCTTAGTATCGGCTACTACTCATGGTGACGTCCCACAATCACTGATATCACACAATTGGAGATGTAACATAAGAACATAAGAAAATAAGGAGTCTGCAATAGGCCGGTTGGCCTGTGCAAGTGTGCATGGCAGCTCCTGTCGAGAGTTACTACCACTCTCTATCATCCATGAATATTTCTAGCCTCCTTTTGAAACTTTCCAGAGTTCCCGCACTTACTAAAAAGTTGCTAAGCTTGTTCCACTCGTCCGCCACCCTATTTGTAAACCAGTTCCTTCCTATCTCCCTCCTAAACCTAAACTTATCCAACTTAAATCCGTTGCTCCGAGTCCTATCCTGCTCGGATATTATAAGAACTTTATCTATATCCCCTTTATTGATTCCTTTCACCCACTTGAATACTTCTATCATATCTCCCCGCACTCTTCGTCTTTCTAAGGAATGCAAGTTTAGTTTCTTTAACCTATCCTGATATGGAAGGTTTCTAAGTCCCAGAATAATTTTCGTCATTCTTCGCTGCACCGACTCTAGTGAATTGATATCCATTCTATAATAAGGGCACCAGAACTGAACCGCATAATCGAGGTGCGGCCTGACTAGCGCAAGATATAGTTGCAATAAGACCTCTGCACTCTTATTGCTTACACTTCTAGATATAAAACCCAATACACTGATGCTTTTCATACGCACGAGTGACATCACACAGTGCCATACGCACAAGTGACGTCATACAAACAGTGCCATACGCACGAGTAACGGCCCACAAACAGCGCCATACGCACGAGTGACGTCACGCAAACAGTGCCATACACACGAGTGACACACTCATGCGTGCCATACACACGAGTGACACACTCATGCGTGCCATACACACGAGTGACGTCACGCAGTGCCATACACGAATGACGTCACACAAACTGCCACACGCACGAGTGACTTTACACAAACAGTGCCATTCGCACGCGTGACGTCACACAAGCGCGTGACATATGCACGAGTGATATCCCTCAAGTACGTGACGTGCCATACGCAGTAAGTGATGTCACACTTAACACGACCACAGAGACCCCACAATCACTGTAGGGACTCATTACACAACTGATGTATCAAACACTACTGCGGCGCCCTTACTTACTTACACAACGTTACCTAACTTTCACAACCCTTTATTTCCTAACAGAAAGCGCACTACACTCATTCTTATTTACACACACACACACACACACACCAGCCTTCTTAAACTTGATCTAGTCTGGCTGGTACGCTTTGATCACTGTATCTCCCGCATGTTCGCACGAATATTATTGACACAGAGTTCACTCTTTCCTGACACGCGGTCCTCCCAGCAGGCGGCGTGCCTGTCTGGAATGAACGATAACACTCCCGCGCGCCCGTACGAACAATTTTGGCACCAAGACCAGTCCTTTCTGACACTGGACCCACCTACAGAGGCGTCACGCTTCTCTACATACACATACGAGTGCTATACACACTCTCAACCTACAATCCCCTTTTCGCTGGGGTTAACTATTATTATATTATAGGCATCACACTTTAGTCGATGATTCACGAATTCACACAAAGGCGTCCCCGCTCTCCTGCGGGGTGTGCCGGGGGGAAGGGCCCCGCTGAAGGTCCGTTGACGGTCGAGTCACTCGCCAGTTCTCAGTAGACTGTATCGGCAGACTGTAGGACCCACGTTTTGACTGTAATCGCTCATTGGAGCAATTTTGGTTTGTGGAGGACAATAAGACCCTTGTCGTTGACGCGATGAGCATAATTCGGTCAAAACCTGTTGAATACAATTCACATATAACAACTGATGGTACATCAGGACACAGTTTGAATAATATGATCAATATACAGTACATAATTACACTTATTAAAGTTATTTAGAGTTCTCAGAGGATTCAACAGTTCACAATCACACTCACATTTTGGGGTCTAGGGTTCGACCAACGAGAACAAATATATTGTCCTGCAGGAAAATGTTGTGGGCGAGAATCCAGATGTTGCCTTTACAGTAGAAGGCAATAGACTGTCCCTCAGACAGTCACACAGCTGCTACCAGCTCCATCTCGCTTAGTAAGCTATTCTGAGTTATAAACAGTTTCTTCACTTAACATGTGGCCGGTGCGCACAATTTGTGCGTGGCGATAACACACTGTTACAGGTTTTACCTCTCTAGTCCGGCATTCTGTGGTCCGGAAGCTCCCGTGGTCCGGAACGATTTTAGTTTGTCCAATAGGTAGATAAGAAGCTTCTCTCTCTCTTTTTTTTTTTTTTTTTTTACTTTTCTGAATTATTATTATTATTATTATTACTGGAGTATTGCATTTTTTGCCTTAGGCTCAATGTGGGTGGTGACCTGTGCCTGGGTGGGCTAATTCCCGTAAAAAAACAACAACAACAAAGCCGCGAGAAATTAAGGTTCATTTACATCTTGCAGTTCGGCTCTCTCTCTCTGTTCGTCTATATAGTACAGAGTATAACATTTAACCCTTCAATATATATGAACAATAAATAAGTGTTGCTTTCATATTCTTATGTAGAGTAATGACGATATGTTTTTACATGTGCTCACTTACATACGCGCAGTCTCACTTTTTTCTTTAACATTAATGGTTTGCTACTTTTATTGTTTTATTTATTAACATTAAATAACATTATTTAAAACAACCATATTAATTTTTTACATTAATTTTACTACAGCTTCAACCAGGGTCTTATTTTCTTGTTTTATATGTAGAACCAGTCAGTCACTGGTTTTGTTATCAACGAAAACAATGCTGTCTCATTTCCTCGTGTGTTTTAATATTCTACGTATTATTATTGAATTGTATTGCTCATTTTGCACACATAAACATTAATTCAATAAAAAAGACATTCAGTAATAAACAATAATGAATCTTTTGTACATAAGAGAAATGACGCTGTTTACACAATTGTGCACGTCGTCTGAACGTTGGCGAGCTGTTCAAACCCGTCGAAATTCAAGTTTCCGCAGTCAATATTTTTAATTATGAAGTGGGTTTTTTTGTGTGTCCAAATAAAAAACGGTGAATTAAAAACTCGTAAAATTTGAGAAGCTACTGTACGACATTTAACCCTTCAATATGTCTTCAAAGAGACCACGAAGCAGTGAAAGTGATGCTAACTTAAGCGCAAGTCACTATCTGTCCAGGAAAAGGGTGAATTTCCATGGTCCGGCACCGGTCAGGATCCTGAGGTTGCCGGACTAGAGAGGTACAACCTGTACTATGTTGAAATACCCTGTAGTGTGACCTTCTCCCCACCTAGTTATTATATATAACATTTGTATCACTTATGTTACTTGTATATTATTTGTAAATCAAGAAACCCATTCCCCAATTATGCAACTGTATATTTTCAGCCTTCCGACTGCCACGCTCCTTCAACAAACCATTAATTATTATTATTATTATTATTGTTATTATTATTACACACACACACACACACACACGCACCCGGGAATTAGACAACAAGCATCCAGTGAGGGTCTTGTTGTGTGACTGCATGGAGGCGAATTAAAAGATCAGCTCTTGAGGAGCTTATCGTTTGGCAACACTGGTGCATGTTATCACTCCTTTCCACTCCAACTCTCTAATCACTCACACCTTTCTGCTTTCTCACTCCATATTTTAAAATAATATGTAATGTAATGTTGAAGGGATACAACTTTGCTCATTTATACTTATCACAATCTCTCTAAAAATACTTAAGGTTTCGTGTTTATTGAAGACATCTTCAGGTCATGAGACCCACTAATTCCCCTCCCTAAAAAGGGTGACCTGACATTCCATCAGCAGGTCAGTAATATGAGACCACTAATCCCCTACCTTACCTTCACCTGACATTGAGTTAGGGCAGGTCCCCCCCCCCCCCAAAATCTTTATTCAAGACATTTTCAGAAAATTTTGTCAATTTTCAACCTCGAAAAATTTGTTCCTAAAACTGGAAATTTTTTGAAAATTCCGGCTTTGGGAATGATTTTCTGATCAAGTTTCAATTCCAGCTAATGGATATTTCTGGGTTTGAGGGATTCCGGCTAACAGAGATATTACATCACATAGGATTAAAACTCTATTACATTTCTAAATTTATTTGGGTGTAAAAACAGTTTTACTTTTTTCTTTTCTACTTTTGGGGGGGGCATCCTGAATGTATATATAAAATTTTTGTCCTTTTTTTCCAGAATGATGGGAAATGCGTTCGTGTGGACCTTACTGTATGTTTTGTGTGCCAAACTTTCATTGAGCCTCCACCTGCAGAGGGTGAACCTGTGACACGAGACAATCTTCTGACAAAGATAACATACTGCTCTGTAGGTGAGTATACTTATGCTTTTACAATTGATACAAAGTTGTACTGTATATTTATTTTAAGCTAATATTTATAATTCTTTTTGCAAATATTATACAGACAGACCTCTTGTTTAATTTTTTTCACTTAATGGACATAAAAATAATATAATATATATATACAGCCATACGCTGGTTAACCCTCCTGGATACGTTCTTGGAAACGTGGCATTAACCGAAATGGACGTTGTCCGATCATCACATAAACTTTGTATTTATACTTACGTGTATGTGGAATACTATATACGTACATATACACTTTTACTCTTAAATCACTACTGTAATGTGATACAGGTGATTAATTTTTATCTCTTGAGCAAAATACATGACGTTTATATTAAAATTATTCACTGTTTTACAAGGATTCCAGCAACGCCGGGCAGATGGGGGAGAGAAAGGGTGGGAGCGAGCGAGGGGGCGTGGGGGGAGGGGAGGCAGTACGTTTGACAGTTGGCACAGGCCCAGGTCTAACGCGTGTATATTTATCAGTTCTTAAGTGACTAAGCTTCTCTCTTATAAACAGCCAGTGAAATGACCTGGGTGAATATAATTAACATTGCTGGGATTCTTGTAACATACTGATTAATTTGAATATAAACATGCTATAATTTGCACTAGACAAAACAATTGACATCTACTTGTATTAGCATTTTGAGCTTTTAAAATACATGAGGTCTCTTAGATTGAAGAGATTATGAAGGCTTAAAATGAAAAGATACTGTAAAGAGATGTGGGTGTCAGTTGGGGGCGAGTCAGGGAGCTAATGCGTACAAAGGTGATGGAAACAAGTAGAGATGGGAAATGGAGAAATGAATGTTAGATTCTTTCATTGTTTTTCCTGAGTACAGTATTAACACTGTATACTGTAACAACATTCTTTAACTTGGTGTCCAGTTATTTACCTCTCTCTCAATCATTAATTTACTTGGTCCTGCTACAGTAGAACGTCGATTAAAAGCAATTCAATATAAGATTATTGATTTAAAGCGACACCCACAATTAAGGAAAATGTTTTAATTTAAAGCGAATCTTTCCTACTTTGCGCTAGTCAATCTGGCGCATTATGTTTAACATTTTGCTCCTAATGTTTCTCTAGGCACGCTACACTGTCCTAAGGGCAAAGCTGTACTGTACATGTACTCAAAATAATTTACTAAATGATTACTAAAATTTTTGTCTAGTGCAAACTATAGCATGATTATATTCAAATTAATCACTATCTTATAAGAATTCCAGCAATGTAAATTATATTCTCCCTGTTCACTTCTGTGACATTTTATAAGCAAAAAACATAAACTCAATCTAAAGGACATAAATAAACAAATAAATACTTCATTAGATCTTTGACACAACTGTCACTGTCACCTCCTCCCCCCCATCTTCCCAGCCAGGGTTTGGTGTTTTAGGCTTAAAGTATTGATCTTATATAATGTCACAGACTAAAGTTAGGAGAATATAATTTGTATTGCTAGAATCCTTGCAAGATAGCGAATAATCTGAATATAAACGCCATATATTTAGCACGAGATAAAAATTTTTGCTCCTTGTACAGTAGTAAAATTCTTAAATTAGAACTAAAATTTGTATGTCTAATGCGAGCTATAGCATGTTTATATTCAAACTAATCACTATATTATAAGAATTCCAGCAATGTTAATTATATTCTCCCATGTCAGTTCAGTGACACTTTATAAGAGAAAAACTTAGTCACTCTAAAGGACAGATAAATAAATAAGCACTAGACCTTGGCATCAACTGTCAGACATATCACCCCCATCTTCCCAGCCAGTAAACAGACCATATTGCATCCCATAATTTTAGCTGTGTTGATTTATGAGTGTTTGTTTTAACAATACAACAAAAAACAATGTTTTGTTTTTCTAGGAGATGGGCTGAGGTGCATCTGGGTAGACTCTCAGTCTTTTTAGTATTTTGTGTTTCTCTCAAATACCAAACTAAATTATTCCATTGAAACAACACTTCAATTTCGTGCGAATTCAGTTTAAAGGACCTCTCTTGGAACCTATCTTGTGTTATATTGACGTTCTACTGTGATTCTTTTCTCTCCACAAATCTTTCCTTGTATCCACATATTTGCTTCTCTAATTTCTTTGTACCATAATTACTTTACAAAGACAACTATTGTATTTTATGTATTTAGTTTTATATACTGTGCTTACTTGTTGAAAGGGGTTTTATATGACCTCCTTTATACTCATTCGGGTGTTTAAAAAGAGTCCGAGAAATTGCTGAAAATAGATTTTGAAAGTATCAGACATAAGAGTTCAGCAACTATTTTTAGAGTGCTTGTAGTCAGTGATAACTAAGTAGTTCATATAACTGAATTTTATGACTGATGCTGTGGATTGGGAAATTTGTGTCAATCTTTTAGTTTGTTCCTTAGGTTCCTAGGAATATATTATATATTTTTTATCCTCTTCACCACTGTTACACACTGTTGGCAAGTACTGGACATGCACCGGCTCCTGAATGTGCCTGAACCTGCTCCAGTGTTGGTCAAGTCTGGTTTTGAAAGAGCTCACACTCGGTGCCGTCACAACACTGGCAGATAGTTCCAAGAGTACACAACTCTCACTTTGAAAAAGTTTCCCCTCACAGTTTTCTAGACTTGTGGCTTCTTCAATCTTGAGCTGTGATCCCTTGTGTGGGTAGAGAAGAACAGATAGTTGCTGAATGAAGAGCTTTGATTCTATGCTGCCATGCCATTGCACATTTATACAGTGATGCATTGTATGCCAGAAAAAGGCTTCAGGTTCAAGTGACCTCATATTTTTGTTGGATCCTATAACCCAACATTTTAGGATTTTTGCTTATGTAATAATGGTTACCCCTCATTTTCAAGGCTGGCCAACCCCTAGGTCCACCTTGGCATGAATTTCTTTAAAGTTTAGAAGCTGTCACCAACACAACAACCACACCTTAAGTTTATGAGCTGCATGACCCACTGTCATGGAATAAAAAAAAAATGGTCAATGTACCAACTACAGTATATAGGTAGCTAATCATAACCCCAGAACACAATCTGCAAGTGAGTAACATTTATTTTCCCAGTTACTGCTGGGTAGACAACCAAGTGTTGTAAAGAAACTTAGTCACAGTTTCACCCTGCCTAACCTAACCTAACCCAGGACCACTTGCTTGTGTGTTTAGTTGCCATAATTAATGTCTTTTGCTTCCTTAGATGTAACTTCAACATGTAATCCTTCTGGTTTTACAAATGAGTTAACAAGATTAAATTTGAGGGTTTACTGGCTGTGAGTAAAGGCTTCACCTTTTTTATTTAACCATAATCTTACCCTAATACATGGTAGGTGTTGTAGGTTTAATCTCTTTGACCCCAAGATATGTGGTTAAAGTAGGAGGGGTCAGACAGTATTTTGAGTAACAAATCTTGTTGTACAGTCAACAGCAGAAGTTCGTCCAAATTCAGTTGCACGATGTGAGGCGGGTGTTCTGGTAACACTGTATAAGGAAGAGTTGACGAATATGCTTTAATTGGTTATTTATTTAGGATTGGAGATTGACTAATACATTTCTTGTTTATAATTTAGATAGTATCAATGTAAAAAGAAGGAAAATAATGCTCTTGAGAAAGCCATGACATTACTTTATAATGAAAATATCATTAAGCTTGTTAAATACTCATTGGCTTCAACAATGTCATATGAGGTATACCCGTACCTCTTAATAGCATTATTGTACAGCCTCCGATAACGACGGTTCTACTAACGATGATTCATATTTAAGACCCTAGTTAATTTAGGACCCATTCAATTTACACCATTATTTTCTTTGTATTTACGACGAAAATGGAATAAAAAATAAAATTACATTTTCATATAAATAATAATTAAATCCGGATATGTATTATACAAAAAAATAAAAAAAACACGGCCTGCGCACGGAGGCTGCTGGGCTTGTGAGTGGTGAAGTCAACTTCACTAGTATAAACAGTTGCAGCTTGGTGGGCCTTTTGTTTTCACGCATCTGAACAGGAAAAGTAGAAAAACTTTCTCAGGTTGCTTACGGCATTTTTGTGTTCCTGTTCAACATTAGCTAAAGAGCAAGTGATGGTAGTGCTGGATCAAAAGCTAAAAGAAAGTGTATAAACTTAGCCGAGAAACAAAATGTGTTAAAACGATATGAAAAAGGCGAGAGGTCTGTGGATATTATATGAAGCAAGCAATGAACATATTTTCTGAAGTGGATCCAATAACAGAACAAAGCATTAAAATTAACAGGGACTTGAAAATGCAAATGACCTCTAAATAAAGATGTATAATGAGAAAAGAAAGCAGCTGTGCAAAGGTTCCTTCGACAGCTTTATTATTCGAAGGCCTAAACCATCAACTTCAGCTACACCATCAACTTCAGGTACAGCTACACCATCAACTTC